GAAGTCCAGTGGCACAAGCTGTGTTTTGCTAGTGGCCCAGTGCCAAACTCCAAAGGTAGCTTATGAAGGGGCGGCCCTGTTGTTGACTGCTGTGTTCAGGATCATGAGTTGGAGAGTGCATCGGATGAGTTGCGGAAGTTGATGTTGGAGGTTGGCCTCATTGATGAGGCTAGTCTAGAAGAGACCAGGAAGAAGTTTAGGGAGGCGAACAAGGTGGGAAGTGTGGAGGGAGTGGTATTGGAATTCCTCTCTGGTCAGTTCATGCAGGACCAGACAGCAGCTGCGGCAGGCGGTGTGCAGGGAGCTCCTCCTTCGGATGGGCGTACCGAAGCCACTCGAGCTAGGCTCCAAAAGAAGCTCGAGAGCAGGCAGGCTGCAGAGAAGGCAGCTGCTACTGTGGAGGAGGCGGGGGGCAGCGCTAATGGTAGGGTGGAGGGATGATGGATAGGGATGATGGGGTTTAGGTAAGAAGGCCTCGAAGAAGAAGAGTAATAAGAAGAAGTCAGATGTGAGCAAAGCCAGCGAGGGTAGTCTAGAAGAGGCGAAGGTGGGCAGTACACCTACGGAGGAAACGCGTGGGGAAAACTCAAGTGAAGATGAGAAGGCAAGAGTGAATGAAGAAGGTAGTGGCATCACTATGGAGGACTCGATAAACTATGAGAAGCTGTTGTCTGTCGGACTGGTGGTCGCCGCTGCTGCTGTCGGAGGTGTTATACTGTATCGCAAGTATTTTAGTAAGAAAGAGTGATTAGTTTCATATCTTGCACTCTTGCATTTCTTCAACGCAACTGAGAATCCTACCAACTACTGTTCCTTGTCGTATATTTACAGACACTTCATCATCCCATCATCGCGGGTTGTTGTTGTTGTTGTTGTTTAATTTTATGGGGCGGTGGTCAGATTGATTTTGTATGAATGGGCGTTAATGGTCTATGGGCTACCCTCAGTAAAGGGCATCCACACATCTTCACTCGAATCCCCCTGCCTCCCTATGCTGCTAGTAACATCACTCGTAGTAGCCTATTAGAAGGACGCCAGCTGTATGTTGATGCTACCATGTTCCTTTATCGATTCACTTCTTCATCGCGACGATTGTCTATGACACAAGTCATGGACAGATTCAGTCGGCTCAGTTTCGCGTTGAAGCTCCTGTCGGGCCGTAGACCGATATTCGTATTAGATGCGAAACTCTCTAAGATAAAGCAACGGCATTGTTTGAATCAGCGTTGGGCAGTGAGGACGGCCTATGCTGCTGCTGCTCTAGCCAAGGTGGAGAAGGAGTACAGTGATGAAGAGGAAACAGGGAGGGGTGTCGCCGCCACCCCCACCTCCTCCAGCTCATGTTGATCTACGTTTGGGTGTGTGGTGGACCTGTATGTGGCGTAACTTCTTCGCACGAGGCCTGTCCCTGTGTAGAGCACCGGATGGATGGGACGCTGAAGGCAGTGTGTGCAAAGTTGGCAGCGAGATGTAATGGTGTTGTGGTG